ATCTATGAGCAGTCATATATGGAATTATTTTATATCTCTATCACTATTTACTTTAAATTTTCATCAATTTTATTCAACATATATCTGAACAGATACCTACTTCTAAAAATTTACTGGCATCTATTACCATCATTTACAAGTTTTCTTAACTCTTCAATGTCAAAAGAATCTATCACTTTTATGATCTAAAATTTATTTCTAAATTACTTATTTCATTTCTTCTGTTATTTCATTTGGTATTTCTTCAGTCTCTGCTTCAAACAACATGCGTTGATTAAGCATAATTTTTATTATATGAGAATAAAAATTAGCTAATGAAATTTATAGATACTTTTCCTTAAATAATGTACAAAATTTATAGATACTTTTTCTTAAATAATGTTCAAAACTTTAGTGTATTTATTTTAATAATATCCTGCTTAAACTGAAACATTGTAAAGATAAATAAATTGAGATGATAATGATCATAAAATTTCAACTATTAGAAATTAATAAAAATAATTGAAAAAATATTTATTAAACAAAAAATAAAACTAATACATTAAAATATCCCTCTATTAATTTATCTGATTTATTAACTTAAATTAAAAATAGAGAAAATTGATTATCTAAATAATTAAAGAGTTTTAAAAAGCTATAGAAATTAAGAAAAAAATAATCAATTAAGTAGTTCAAAAAGCTAAATTTTATTTAGACTTGCGAAAAAAGTTTGTTTATAGCTAATTTAAATTACTATAGAATAAATTATCATTTTGGTTTATCTAAAATTGCTACAAAAAAATTATAAAATAAAAATAATTATCATTTATCTACTGTTGATTTTTGAATAAATTTATATTAATATTATTTTATATAAATAAATTAAATATTATATCAATCGATAATAAATCATGTAGGAAAAAAATCTATTTGCTCATTTTCAAATAAAAACACCTCAGATAATTTTTCGCTAGTAATATACATCTGTATTTATCTGTTTGTCCATTTATTAATGCTAAATGTTGTGATAGATCATTATCCATTTTTTTAAATTTCGATTTTATTAACTCCTTCAATCGGAAATAAAGTGTAACATATTCTTCTATATGGTTAGAATAAATTTTTTTTGTCTTATTTGATGTCTATTATGGTTTATTCAGGTTGATTTTCGAATATTTTATTATTTTGAGTTATTCCAGCCATTAGTTTAACTTATTTTAATTTTCACTATTTAGTTACAAGTTTACAAGGTTCCCTATTATTTTTTTAATGCTCTCTATTTATTTATTAAAAGGTCGAATATAAAAGAGGATGTTCACTAATTTCACAAATTAGATTATGATGATAAGTGAAACTTCTTTATTATTCAAATCTCAAACTTGTTTTGCTAAAATTAATTTATTTTAATTCTTAAATTATCATTTTACTGATTTAATATTAATAAAAATAAGTACCATTAAAGTAAATTAAATAATAAAATTGATGATATCTAACAATAAGAAAAGTAATTTGTTCTAGATCCATTTGGTACACTCAGCTTTAGATCCTGAGAAATGTATATATTATTTAAATATATAGTTATGTAATTTAAATTGATATTGAATTTTCGAAAAGTAAAATAAAATATTAAAAGTGAGGAAGAATTATTAGAAATTGTTGAATTATTTTTAATTAAAACCAAGGAAGATTTAGTCAATTTTGAATTAAAGAAAATTTAAGAGGGATATAATATGATTAGAAACTAATAAAGTGTATGATACCATCTGAAATAATAATTTATTTATTAATAATTAACCTAAAAATAAAAGTAATTAAATGTTTTTTTGATTTTTATAAATTTCTTATTAGATTTTTAAAATACTACTCATAAACTTGATGGTCTCTAATAATCATTAATAAATTTTATCAAAATTGAAAATTAAGAGGGATTTGTAATTATTTAAAAATTTTAAATGCATATAAGACATATAAGAAATTATAATGATAAAATAATTTCAGATAATATAAATTTGAAATAAGTTCTTATTTATTTATTTAATTAACTTTTTTTTCCAGATAAGATTTTCTTTTTTTTTAATTAAATTATTTAGATTTAGATATTTGTTAATTAAAGTATTTCAAATACTATTTAAATATATAATTAATTTATATATATATTTAAGATTGCTATTGCATTATTGAAGCAGCATAATAAAATAATAATTTAATATCTGATATATTTTAATGATCAAGCTAGATCAAATCCTTCTCCTCCTTCATTTAAAGCTGTTTCTAATTATTTCTTTAAAGTTTTTTCGTTGGAATAGGCAGGTAGGTCTAATACACGAGTGCTATTTATTAAATTTTAGTTATACCATGTATGCCCTGTAGGTAATCTTGAATCAATATCATTTTATAGATAATTTGGTAACCTTATTGTAATTCTGCACTCTGGATTTTAAAATCCTCCAACAGGAAGTTTTGGGTGGCCTTAAATTTATCTGATTTTTACCTGTTGTAAGACTTAAAAACTTAGCTAGCATATCTTAATTAAAACTCCTCAATATATTTTAAAACCATCCAATCACTTAATGTTGGGCAGTATAACCTTGATATCTCAAAGTTCTTATAAGATCCTCAACTAATGATTTTTTATATAAATTAATACCATTTATATTTGATTCACCACATAGTAATAATTCTAATTAGATCGAATCAAAGATTTTAATATCTTCTTTTGGTATTAGTGAATAAAACCCATCTTAAATGGCTTTAATTTAATCTTCAATATCTTTTGCCATAATTTAGTGACAATATTTTCTTACAAAATCTTTTTTATCATATTCTGTAACTTCAATAACTTTACCGCCTGGTTTAAGTTCCACATCATCAGGTACACCACCTTATTTAATTGTGTATGCCCAAAACAAATTCCAACTAGAATCAATTCTCTAATTATAGATAAGATCAAATGTATTCTTCAGCCCTTCATCATAATTTTGGATATCAGCTCTGGATAATTTTTGGCCTACAATATGTTTAAACATTGAGATTGGAAATTAGCCATATATAGGAACTTTTCTTAGAATGGCAATAGCAAAAATCTTTCCAACAAATTTAAATTTGTTAAGATGATCAGGATCACTAGATGATTCCCTATTTATTATAAAACATGTATTGTCTGAATTAGGTACAAATAGTTTATATTTTTAATCTACAATTTATTCTGAAAGTTTGTAAATCCAATCTCTCGTCAATCCACCTTCATCCTATCCTTATTCCCCTTCAAATATGATTTAAAACCGTTCTTTAAGAATATTAGGATTGGCTATGCTTTTAATTTATCTATAAGAGTCTTCGAAAATTTATTCTCTGCTTATTCTAAACATTCTTCCTCCTCCAAAAATTTGTTATTAATTATTTCCATTTATTTATTATTTTTAATAAAAATACTCTTTTTTATTTTTAAAATCTATTACTTGAGGATGATATGTTAAAATGCCATCGAAAAAATCTTTTTCAAAAAGATAATCATTCCTTATTTATTGATTTTATCTAGTAGTTGTATAATAAGTTATCATTTTGTTAATTTACTCTTTTACTATTTGATTGATGTATTCTCTGCCATTTTTACAAAGTTTCTTAAATAACCTTTCAAAATCAATCAAATTTCCTGTTGATTCTGAGATTTCCATTGAAGATACTTTTAAGAGTTGTAAGTTTTAATTTGCAATTGGATGAATAATTTAATGACATATCAAAAATGCTTTTAGGATTGGTAATAATTTATAGTTATATCTACAATCATGTAAATTCCAAATCTATATTATTAATTAATCCAAAATATTAAATAAGTCTTAAATTTCTTGAGAATTAAAAAAGTTTCTGCATTACTCTAATTGTTATTCATCCTTGGATGCAATATAAATCATCTAAAATATTTTTTCTACTTCATTTAACTATTTAAATGTTTACTCAACTTATTATTAATTCAGGAATTAATTTTTATAATATTCAGAAATGCTAATAATTTAAAATTTCAT